CTCAAGGCTGATTTCAATCGATGTATCATCATTTTCTCCATACATAAATTGTCAAAAAAAAATAGAATTATGACCAAGTAATCAATAAACAACATTTTAAAAGTGCCTTAGTAACATCAATAACGTCATACAGAACAGGACAAAAAACTATCCTACATTGTAAACAACAACAACTTGCTTATATAAAAAGACCTAGACACTGTTCAAACTAACATATTATATTCATTTCATTCTTCGACATACATTATCAAGAAAGCAATTTTTCATCTTTTACTAGCAAATCAAATGTTACGACACTTATTGTCAACGTTTTGTTTAAGTCGATTTAAATGTCGAGTAAGTTATTCTATATATATATATATTGATCTTTTAACATTCTAATACAGTTCTTAGATCTTTGCTATCAACCATTAGGTTCTAATGAATACGAAGAATCTATTTCTTCATTATCTGATTGTGAAAACTATCGAAGAACATCCTATGATAGTGATAGTGATAGTGATAGTGATATATTAGAAAACGAAGAACAGATTTATTGTAGTCAGGCAAAACGAATTAAATCACAAAATTCTCAAGAAAACTTTGAAATTCTTTATGAAATTCACAATGGTTTTACATCAGGCCAAGTATCAATTATTGAAAATGCTTTACAAATTGTTGTCGATAGATTATTTAAACCAGAAATTTTACAAAATATGTATCAAATCTGTGGTAAATCAAACTGTTTCTTAATACATGGAGTATTATCACAGTCAAATTTAATAGAAAATTCAATTTATTTCAATCAATATTTATTATTACATTATCAATTAATGTGTCTTAAAGTCCAATGTGAAAATGGTGAAATGCCCATCATAAATATTTATCCAATTGATGAAAAAAATCAAAAAGAAAATAATGATTCTCTTCCGTATGTTTTTTGTATTTCTCATGGATCAACATTTATGATTGATGGTGAATTCGAAATTGAATTAAATCAAGATAAACTTAATGGATCAGTTAAAAACAGTTCCAATGCTTTATTTTGGGCTGGAGAAATTGTTTATGAAATGCTTCGAAATTTAGGTCATCGATCCAATGACATTTATTACAAAAATCGATCACAAATTAATGTTTTTAAACAATGTTTTCTACATAATGGAAATTATATTCCTATTAAAAAACAAAAATAAACTTTTATCAAACCAAAATTCTAAATAAAATGTCTTGTCATCATATAAAATGGTTTATTTTTGTTTGTTATTATTGATGAATATAGAATATATTGATAAATACGTTGATATATATATATATAGTTCTTTAAAGAACTTCAGATGAAGAATATAATATTGATATTATTCTTGGAGAAGATGTAAAGTACTTGAGACAAATAGAAAAAGATATTGATAAGATAAAGAATCTTTATTATTATGTTGTTTAAACTAATCACTTGGTCGTGAATCACCTCTATTAGAAACGAAATGACCCAATTGTGTAGCTGACAAAAACATGCTGCTAAAATTCCAATACGCCTTTCTTTGAATTGTGTAGTTTCATTTCTTTATGATATAGGAATAAAATGATTATAAAATTGTCAGGTGACATGTTGTAAATAAGCTGAAAGATTCCTCGCTAAATAAATAAGATCATATTTTAAAAATAAATGATATAACATCAAAAATATTTTTCTTAGATAAACAAAAAAAAACAACATGGTTACCTGTGAGAAGAAAAACTTCATACTAACATCTAAACAATGAATAAATCTTGTCCGAAAAAAGCATATAGACTTCTTTGTTAAATGTGCGAATATTTCACAATTGTTTTAAATATTAAAAAATTAACTCGTTTTTTTCCATTATGTAAGGTAAATAAAATAAAAACAATAAAGGAAACATTTCTTTGTCAAGCTAAAGGTAAAATGTAACATAGACAGAGAGATCTGACATGTGCAAATGCAAAAG